CTGTTGTTTTCTTTGTGACTTCCTTGTCTGGTTTTGGTATCAGGGTGATGGTGGAGGGCCTAGACTTTTAAAGTTGAACAAAGGAGCAGTATTAGTCTTTTTTTTTTTTTTTTCAGTGAGAACCAAAGTAGTCTTTTTTTTTGGCTGTGTTGGGTCTTCGTTGCTGTGCGCGGGCTTTCTCTAGTTGCGTCGAGTGAGGGCTATTCTTCATTGAGGTGCACAGTCTTCCCATTGTGGCTTCTCTTGTTGCGGAGCACAGGCTCTAGGCATGTGGGCTTCAGTAGTTGTGGCATGCAGGCTCAGTAGTTGTGGCACACTGGCTTAGTTGCTCTGCAGCATGTGGGATTTTCCCGGGCCAGGGACTGAACCCATGTCCCCTGCATTGGCAGGTGGATTCTTAACCACTGCACCACAGTGAATTCCCCCAAAATAGTCTTAAGAGAAATACTATATACTCTTTTTCTTCTCCCTTTTCTCTACTTCATTCCTAAATACTTTTTCACTGTAGCAATTAAATTCTACAGCATAACCCATTATTTGCATACAAAGTAAAAAGGAATACTATGAAAATGGAGTGCTTCTTCTAGCTAGTTCTTTCATGCATTTTTACAACTTTTGATTAGTCTTCAAACAATATGAAGGCTTTCAAAAACCAGTTTTAATGTCTAATTTATGTGGAACACTAAATCCACGTTGATAGTTGAATATGGTTTTTGCTAACTAAATCTAAGTTGCAGCAGTTTAGGGATTTAAATGTCAGTGTTTGTACAATATTGTATGCTAATTTTTAGGTAAAGTCATGATCAGTGTGAATTTGTGATTAAATGTATTCATTTCTGTTACCTAAAAGGAAAAATTTCTTCAGAGGGTGTTTCAACAGATACTTTCACAAAATTAGCTGGCAAAAAATTTAGGTCTGTTGGAGTTACTTTGTCATCTTCAATTCTGTTGCTGTACTCTTGGCATACATTTTTCCACTGTATTTTGTATAAATATTTTTTGAACACAAAAACAAGTGAGTAGCTACTATATTCTAGCCACTGGAGATATAAAACAGAGTAAATTATTTTCAAGAGGCTCAGTGACGGAGATGCAAACAGAAAATTATCTAACAAAATAAATACAGTAAAAGCAAATTAAGTGTGCTGAGGAGCATTATTTAGTGTACACAATAATCCCCAAGCCATAAACTTAAGCAGAAATGAAGTTTTCAAATAATAATAGGTTGCTCACCGACTCTTTGGGAGGATAAGAAAGCCCGATTTGAGTCTTTGAAGCCAGGAACAATGCTCAGTATCACACCACAACGTCACTGGATCCTGCTACTAATCACCACCCCTGCCTACTTCTGGACAATGACAGTGACTGTCACCTTTGCCAAAACACATTTCCCTCTTTCTTGTCTCCAGCAGCTGAATCAAAATCTGGCACAGGTGTATCTGATTACTGGAAACTCATCACAGTGCTGCACCCTGGTCTCCCACAAAGAATCTTAAGTTGGAGGAGTCCATGTAGAACTGAGGTTCACGTGCAGAGCTGCCCAAAAGATTGAAAATCCACTGCAGTGCTGAAGCTAGCCTGGGGGTTGAGAGGAGAGGGAGTCAGGGAAGGCTCTTGGGAGAAGATGACTTCTTACTGAGTCTTAATGAGTGAGGTAGAGGTAGTCATGGGATTCCAAACAGAAGGGATAGATAAGGAAAAGGCTAGAGTCAAACAGTAATTGTGGGTATGGGGAATCTAAAAGCATTTTAATGTTGCTGGAGCTTAACATGAGGTACGGGAGTTGGAATAAATGTACGAGACTGGATTGGATGTTAGGGAGCTTCGTTATACCATACTAAGGAATTTTAACTTTATTCCAGATAGCTATTTAATGAAGGGTTTAAGCAGAAGAGTAACCTGGTCAGTTTTTCATAATAGATCACTCTGGTAGCCATTGGTGGGTATATTTGAGGAAAACAACACTGGAAGCAGGGATAACTATGCCCTCAGTCCAGGACAGAAGTGAGGAGAAACTGAACTATGGCAAAAACAGTAGGGGTGCAGAAGTAAAACTGGAATGGCTTGATGGCTAATAGATCTGGAAAGAAAAGGAAAAGTTGCGAGTGATACACAGGTTTTCATTTTGTAGGACTTGTATGGACAATGATGCCACCACTTGAGTTAGAAAGTACAGGCAAAAAGTCTTTTTAGAGGGGAGGAAGAGATAGACAGGTCTGGGCAGACTCTGGGAGGGCTCACGCCACGGACTACTTCCCAGAACTTCTGCTGCTAAATGTCCTTGTCTACACGGTGAGCCACAGCCACCTCCCACCTCAGCAGGAGACCCTCCAACACTAGCAGAAAAGAAAACTTCTTCAAAGCATTGCAGCGACCAGTCACTCCCATCAGGAAACTTACATAAGCTTCTTAGATAGCCTCATCCACCAGAGAGCAGATAGAAGAAGCAAGAAGAACTACAATCCTGTAGCCTCTGGAACAGAAACCACATTCACAGAAAGATAGACAAGATGAAAAGGCAGAGGGCTATGTACCAGATGAAGGAACAAGATAAAACCCCAGAAAAACAACTAAATGAAGTGGAGACAGGCAACCTTCCAGAAAAAGAATTCAGAATAATGATAGTGAAGATGATCCAGGACCTCGGAAAAAGAATGGAGGCAAAGATCGAAAAGATGCAAGAAATGTGTACAAAGGACCTAGAAGACGTAAAGAACAAACAGAGATGAACAATACAATAACTGAAATGAAAACTACACTACAAGGAATCAATAGCAGAATAACTGAGGCAGAAGAACAGATAAGTGACCTGGAAGACAGAATGGTGGAATTCACTGCCATGGAACACAATAAAGAAAAAAGAATGAAAAGAAATGAAGACAACCTAAGAGACCTCTGGGACAACATTAAACGCAACAACATTTGCATTATACGGGTCCCAAAAGGAGAAAAGAGAGAAAGGACTAGAGAAAATATTTGAAGAGATTATAGTCGAAAATTTCACTAACATGGGAAAGGAAATAGCCACCCAAGTCCAGGAAGCACAGTGAGTCCCATACAGGATAAACCCAAGGAGAAACATGCCGAAACACACAGTAATCAAATTGGCGAAACTTAAAGACAAAAATTATTAAAAGCAGCTAGGGAAAAATGACAACATAGAAGGGAACTCCCATAAGGTTAACAGCTGATTTCTCAGCAGAAACTCTACAAGCCAGAAGGGAGTGGCACGATATACTTAAAGTGATGAAAGGGAAGAACCTACAACCAAGATTACTCTACCCAGCAAGGATCTCATTCAGATTTGATGGAGAAATCAAAAGCTTTACAGACAAGTAAAAGATAAGCGGATTCAGCACCACCAAACCAGTTCTACAACAAATGCTAAAGGAACGTCTCTAAGTGGGAAACACAAGAGAAAAAAAGGACCAACAAAAAAAAACCTAAAACAATTAAGAAAATGGTAATAGGAACGTATATATTGATTATTACCCTAAACGTGAATGGATTAAATGCTCCAACCAAAAGACACAGGCTTGCTGAATGGATACAAAAATAAGACCCATATATAGTCAGTCTACAAGAGACCCACTTCAGACTTAGGGACACAAAGACTGAAAGTGAGGGGATGGAAAAAGATATTCCATGCAAATGGAAATCAAAAGAAAGCTGGAGTAGCAATACTCATATCAGATAAAATAGACTTTAAAATAAAGAATGTTACAAGAGACAAGGAAGGACACTACATAATGATCAGGAGATCAATCCAAGAAGATACAGCCTATGTTGGAGGTGCTCCAACATAGGAGCACCTCAATACATAAGGCAACTGCTAACAGCTATCAGAGGAATTCGACAGTAACACAATAATAGTGGGGAACTTTAACACCTCACTTACACCAATGGACAGATCATCGAAACTGAAAATGAATAGGAAAACAAGCTTTAAATGACACAATAGACCAGGTAGATTTAATTGATATTTATAGGACATTCCATCCAAAAACAGCAGATTACACTTCCTTCTCAAGTGCGCACACAACATTCTCCAGGATAGATCACATCTTCGGTCACAAATCAAGCCTCAGTAAATTTAAGAAAATTGAAGTCATATCAGTATCTTTTCTGACCACAATGCTATGAGATTAGAAATCAATTACAGGGAAAAAAAGGTAAAAAACACACACACATGGAGGCTAAACAATACATTACTAAATAACCAAGAGAGCACTGAAGAAATCAAAGAGGCAATCAAAAAATACCTAGAGACAAATGACAATGAAAACATGACGATCCAAAACCTATGGAATGCAGCAAAAGAAGTCCTAAGAGGGAAGTTTATAGCTATACAAGCCTACCTCAGGAAACAAGAAAAAACTAAACAATCTAACCTTACACCTAAAGGAACTAGAGAAAGAAGAACAAACAAAACCCAAAGTTAGCAGAAGGAAAGAAATCATAAAGATCAGAGCACAAATAAATGAAATAAAACTAAAAGCTGGTTCTTTGAGAAGATAAACAAAATTGATAAACCATTAGCCAGACTCATCAAGAAAAAGAGGGAGAGGACTCAAATCAGTAAAATTAGAAATGAAAAAGGAGAAGTTACAACAGACACCACAGAAATACAAAGCATGCTAAGAGACTACTACAAGCAACTCTGCCAATAAAATGGACAACCTGGAAGAAATGGACAAATCCTTAGAAAGGTATAAACTTTCAAGACTGAACCAGGAATAGAAAATATGAACAGACCAATCACAAGTAATGAAATTGAAACTGTGATTAAAAATCTTCCAACAAAGGTCCAGGACCAGATGGCTTCACAGGTGAATTCTATCAAACATTTAGAGAAGAGCTAACACCCATCCTTCTCAAACTCTTCCAAAAAATTGCAGAGGAAGAAACACTCCGAAACTCATTCTATGAGACCACCATCACCCTGATACCAAAACCAGACAAAGATACTCTAAAAAAAGAAAATTACAGACCAATATCACTGATGAATATAGATGCAAAAATACTAGCAAACAGAATCCAACAACACATTAAAAGGATCATACACCATGACCAAGTGGGATTTATCCCAGGGATGCAAGGATTCCTCAATGTATGAAATCAATCAATATGATACACCATATTAACAAATTGCAGAAGAAAAACCATATGATCACGTCAGTAGATGCAGAAAAAGCTTTTGAGAAAATTCAACACCCATTTGTGGTAAAAACTCTCCAGAAAGTGGGCATAGAGGGAACCTACCTCAACATAATAAAGGCCATATATGACAAACCCACAGCAAACATCATTCTCAATGGTGAAAAACTGAAATATTTCCTCCAAGATCAGCAACAAGGATGTCCACTCTCGCCACTATTATTCAACATAGTTTTGGAAGTCCTAGCCACGGTGATCAGAGAAGAAAAAGAAATAAAAGGAATACAGACTGAAAAAGAAGTAAAACTGTCACTGTTTGCAGATGACATGACACTATAGAGAATCCTAAAGATGCCACCAGAAAACTACTAGAGCTAATCAATGAATTTGGTAAAGTTGCAGGATACAAAATTAATGCACAGAAAGCTCTTGCATTACTATACACTAATGATGAAAAATCTGAAAGAGAAATTAAGGAAACACCCCCATTTACCATTGCAACAAAAGGAATAAAATACTTAAGAGTAAACCTACCTAGGGAGACAAAAGAGCTGTATTCAGAAAACTAAAAGGCACTGATGAAAGAAATTAAAGATGATACCAACAGATGGAGAGATATACCATGTTCTTGGATTGGAAGAATCAATATTGTGCAAATGACTATACTATCCAAAGCAATCTACAGATTCAATGCAATCCCTATCAAATTACCAATGGCATTTTTTACAGAACTAGAGCAAAAAATCTTAAAATTTGTATGGAGACACAAAAGACCCCAAATAGCCAAAACAGTTTTGAGGGAAAAAAACGGAGCTGGAGGAATCAGACTCCCTGACTTCACAGTATAGTATAAAGCTACAGTAATCAAGACAATATGGTACCGACACAAAAACAGAAACATTGATCAATGGAACAAGATAGAAAGCCCAGAGATAAACCCACACACGTATGGTCAACTAATCTATGACAAAGGAGGCAAGGATATACAATGGAGAAAAGACAGTCTCTTCAATAAGTGGTGCTGGGAAAACTGGACAGCTATATGTAAAAGAATGAAATTAGAACACTCCCTAACACCATACACAAAAATAAAGAAAATCGATTAGAGACCTAAATGTAAGATCAGACACTATAAAACTCTTAGAGGAAAACATAGGAAGAGCACTCTTCGACATAAATCACAGCAAGATCTTTTTTGATCCACCTCCTAGAGTAATGGAATTAAAAAACAAAAATAAACAAATGGGACCTAATGAAACTTAAAAGTTTTTGCACAGCAAAGGAAACCATAAACAAGAGAAAAGACAACCTTCAGAATGGGAGAAAATATTTGCAAACGAATCAACGGACAAAGGATTAATCTCCAAAATATATAAACAGCTCATGCAACTCAATAGTAAAAAAACAAACAACCCAATCCATAATGGGCAGAAGACCTAAATAGACATTTCTTCAAAGAAGACATACAGATGGCCAAGAAGCACATGAAAAACTGCTCAACATCACTAATTATTAGAGAAATGCAAATCAAAACTACAATGAGGGGCTTCCCTGGTGGCGCAGTGGTTGAAAGTCCACCTGCCGATGCAGGGGACACAGGTTCGTGCCCCTGTCCGGGAAGATCCCACATGCCGCGGAGTGGCTAGGCCTGTGAGCCATGGCCGCTGAGCCTGCGCGTCCAGAGCCTGTGCTTCACAACGGGAGAGGCCACAACAGTGAGAGACCCATGCACCGCAAAAAAAAAAAAAAAAAAAAAAAGTACAATGAGGTATCACCTCACACCAGTTAGAATAGGCATCATCAGAAAATCTACAAACAGCAAATGTGGAGAAAATGGAACTCTCTTGCACTGTTGGTGGGAATGTAAATTGATACAGCCACTATGGAGAACAGTATGGATGTTCCTTAAAAAACTAAAAATAGATTTACCATGTGATCCAGCAATCCCACTACTGGGTATATACCCAGAGAAAAGCATAATTCAGAAAGACACATGCACCCCAATGTTCATTGCAACACAATTTACAATAGCCAGGTCATGGAAGCAAGCTAACTGCCCATTGACAGATGAATGGATAAAGAAGATGTGGTACATATATACAATGGAATATTACTCAGCCATAAAAAGGAACGAAATTGGGTCATTTGTTGAGATGTGGTTGGATCTAGAGCCTGTCATACAGAGTGAAGTAAGTCAGAAAAACAAATATCGTATATTAACGCACATATGTGGAACCTAGAAAAATGGTACAGATGAACTGGTTTGCAGGGCAAAAACTGAGACACAGATGTAGAGAAAGTATGGACACCAAGCGGGGAAAGCGGCGGGGTGGTAGTGGTGGTGTGATGAATTGGGCGATTGGGATTGACATCTATACAGTGATGTGTATAAAATTGATGACTAACAAGAACCTGCTCTATAAAAAAAAAAAAAGTAGGTCTGTCAAAGTAGGGTGATTTGCATGTCAGACACCTGAAGGATATCCAGGTGATAATACCAGAAGCAACTGAATATATGAATCTCAAAACTGGAGCAGAGGAAGAGGCTAGAAATGAGAATCATATGTGTAGAAGTTGAAACCACAAGAGTGTATGAAATCTATTACAGAGAAAATATAGAGGAACTGGGGGGTCAAGGACAAAAGCATAGGGACATCTTAATGCTTCAAGGATAAGCAGTGAAGAGGACCTCAGAAGGAAAGTAGGGAGCGATCATGTTGTAAGTGGTCCATAGTGTGGATTGGGTTACCCGGGTCCTGGGCCAACAGAAGATCTGGAGGGGAGGAGTCATCATCAAAGTTTTGGATCCAGGCTGCTTCTGGTTCCCTCCACCTTCACTGGATGTCTGAGTCATCACTACTGAGAAAAAGATAACGCTTCCCCTCTTCTTCATCTGCATCCACAGGAGAAGGTAGATCGAAAACCCTCTCCCATTATAGGAAAAAGAAGAAATCATTAGATCAAATCAGGAAGTTGGTTTCTGGCCCTGGCTCTGCCATAAACACTCATGTTTTGACTCCAGATATCATATAACCATTCTCAGTCTGGTGCTTATCTGAAAAATAAGGGACTTGAACTGGATTATCTCCAAGGTTGTACCTATTCGGTTAGGCAGGATACAAAAACCACAGGTTATTTTAACAGAACAATAATAAAGAATCATTAAATAGGCATTGAAGAAAGGGCCAAAGGAAAACAAGTATCAGAGAGCTAGCAAGGGCAGAAGCAAACATCACAGGGCCGCGGGAACAAAAGGGAAGAGGCTGGCGTCACTAAAACTGAAACTGAAACCCAGACTTCCCAGAAGGGGGCGCTGCTCCACTGGTGCTGGCAAGACCACACTGGTTTTGTGAGTATTGGAAAAACTGCCACTGCAGGGAAACCAACATTGCTAGAGTGATGCTGATGGGAATAGAGCAAATAGGAGGAAACAAGTCCCTTCCTCATCCTGCCTTGCAGCTGTGTAAGCCCCTCATTTAGGAAGTTTAAGTCTCTGAACATCTCATTCAACAAATAGCTACAGTGATGAATAAATAAAAATCTTTCATAACTGCATCACTGAAATGGAGGTAAGGAATATGCTGAACCCAAAGTGATGTGACACAAGAAACCCTGGAAGGAGAAGAAGGGTCAAGGCTTAGGGTGACTTCTGAAACCTGGAGACCTTGACCTTTGTGGACAACAGAGGATACTGAGGCAAGAGAGAACGCCAAGGCTTGCCAAAGATGGAGAAGCTACAGGAGACCCTCTGACGAACCCGAGCCCGAAAGGGCTGTACTGTGGTATACAAGTAAGTGAAGAATAAACCCCGCCACGTGGAAGGAGTCAACAAGGCCACACATCTATCTCCAACCTGCTGCTAGATCAAGGGGAAGAAGCTCCCTTGAGATTCTGTAAACCACAAGCTGGCTCTCGCACAGGACTGTGGTCTGAAGTCCCACTAACTGTAAAGTTTGAAATCCCTTAGTGAAGTATTTAATTCAGATTGGTTCTGGGTAATGCCCCCAGGTGGCAGGCAGAAGCTTTCACAATTCCTCTTAAGAGAGCTCAGATTCAACTCAGGCCTCAAAGAATGTCCACAGGCAAAATGCTAACACAATATTGCAAATCAGCTATACTTCAGTTTTTTAAAAAATGCTAAGGAGATTGAGCAATTTAAGGTAAACATTCACAGGGTATCCAAGGAAATAAAGCACTGTGAACAAGAACCAGCAGACACCGCATACGGAAACCTCAGCGGTAACCAGGGAACTATACATTTAAAAACCTCAAGGAGATACCAATTCATACTCATCAGATTGACAAAAATGTTTTGAATTGGCATTAACAGTTTGGCGTTACCTCCTATATGCATTTAAACATATGCACACCTCCCATTCCTTTACGTTATGCCTAAAGAAACTCTTACACATGTATCTTAGGACTTATGTACCAGAATGTTCATAGCAGTACTGTTCATAACAGGGAAAAACAACAAAGCCTGGAAATAACCCCACTGCTGACCAACCTACATTGGATAAACTGACGTTTTCACACACTGCTGTACTACAGAGCAGTGAGAATGAGCCAGCCTTACGCATCGACGTGGATGAATCTCAAATATAATATTGAACAAAAGAAGTCATAGAAGAATACATGCAATATGAGTCAGGCCATTCGCATAAGCTAAAAAAATGGTACATGTTGTTTAAGGCAAGTGGTAAAACTAAAACAAAAAGCAAAGGAATAATTATCACAAAAATTAGGATGGTGGTGCTTTTTGTGGGGGGTGGGTAGCAAGGAGGTACGATCAAAGTGGATCATCAGGGGTTTTCTGATGTAGCTGGTAATACTCATTTAAAAAAATCTTGGCTGGCAGGGACGTGGGTGTTCACTTACGACCCTTATTTAAAACATACATTTTACACACACTTTTATATGTATGATATGCTTCACAAAAAATAAGGAATGATCCTAATAGTCCTTCTCTAACCTGTAAGACTTGCTGTCAGAATGCTGTGCAGTTCGTATTTTCAATGCCAGCTTCTTGGGCCATAAAATAGAAGGGGCCAGTGTTTTTCAGCAGTTCTTCAGGGCTGCCATACTCTACAATCTTCCCATTGTCTAGGACCATTACCCTGAAACAAAAAAGAGAGAAGTCTTAGAAAGCAGTGTCTCAAACCTTGGCATTTATAATAACCAGAACTAAGTCTCGATATTGTTACCAAGGCTGTTGCCCCAGAATCATACCCCTGCCCCTCCCTCAGATGGAAACCAAGTGCCCATGTCTAAGTTTCAGGAGTAAGCTGCAAAGAGAAAAACAAGAACTGGTTAGAACAAACTAGGCCCAAGGTGGTGGAAGATTTGATTTCCAGTAGACCTTGGGCCTCATTATGCTCATTGTAATATATTAGCATGCTAAATGACACACCTACCAGCACCATGATATGGACAATTGCCATGACAACAACCGGAAAAGCCCAGACAAGGACTGAAAAGGAGGGTTGCATCAGTTCCTGTTCAAACCACACCCCTCTTCTCAGATTAGTCATAAATATTCCTCCTACTCTTTCCAATTCCCTCCCTTTTCCCCTCAACCCTCCTATATAAATGGTGTCTCCGCCCAAATTGGGTTGAGAAAGTTGATTTGTGAACTAATTCCCACTTCTCCATCCTTCGGCCATTGAATAAAGCTTGTGCTGGAAAGTCTTAGCATCGGTTTTGTTATTGGCTGTGCGAATCTGAGCAGAAAAAGAAGCTCCCTGGACAAGACGAGAGGTCTCTAGGCTAGGACACCAGCGCGGGTTCAGGTGACCAATATGATAACAGTATGTTTATTCATACCAGGCTACAAGGCAGCGAGAATGACTGAACTGCGGCTATCTGCATCAACATGGATTCCATGTGGAATACTGAACAAAAGAGACTTATACTGCATATATTCTTATACTATTTACGTAAGTTTTTTTCTTTTTTTTTTAAGGATACACATGGTTTAAGGATACCTTGATTTAAAAAGGGAGCCTTCCCCTTGGTCAAAAAAGGGAGCCTATTCTCTTCAGTTTTAAGATTACTGACCCCCCCCCCATTTTGAATTGTCAGATTGTCAGTTAGAAGGAACAGAAAGCTTCTGTTTATAGGCAGAGCAGCTGAGACCCAGCTTAGTTGGGAAGGTCTGTGGAGCAATATATATCACTCCTGGCTTGGGCCTCCTCCACCCCCCATACTCAGTTAATAGTTACAGTTTCCCATTTTACCTTCAAGACAGTTCCCTTAACCCTGTTGGCCTTCATTAGCTTGATGTATAATTTTGGGCAAATTACTTGCAATCTCTCAGCCTCCATTTTTTCATCAATAAAATGATGGTAGTTAAACCTGTAAAGAGACCTCACGGCTGAGGCTATCGCTGTTGACAACGGGTTAAGCCGTGGCTATCAAGCTGTGTCCCCCAACTCACTTGTCACTGTCCATGATGGTGTGTAGCCTGTGGGCAATGGTGATGGTCGTGCAGTGGGAGAACTCAGTTTGGATGGTTGTCTGGATGAGGCGATCTGTCTCTAGATCCACCGCAGCAGTGGCCTCGTCCATGATCAGAATCTTGGATTTCTGAAGCAGAGCCCTGGCCAGGCACAGTAGCTGCCTTTGCCCTATGCTGCAGCCAGTGGAAGAAACAAAGCATTAGCCCCTAAGGACCAAGGAATAACCTGGGTTGGGGCTTGGAGGGGCAGATTTCATGTTCCAGATCAGACTTTCAAAACCCACACTTCCAAATTCCCCTAGAATGCCTTAGCCTCTTCCACTAGCTGTTTATTGTTACCAAGGGCAATGTTTGCCAAACTTTCTCAATTAATTGGAAGACCCACCGCAGGTACTTAATTTAAAAATTCCTATTTCTGGGCCCTGCTCTCAGTCAGAATGGGGAGGAGCCTAGGAACCTGTATTTTGAATACACCCCAGGAGATTTTCATGTTTAACAAGTTTGGAAAACACTAACCCTGGAGTAGTGCTTTGCATTTAGCTACAGTGATATCTCAGTACCCGACTTCAGCAGTATGTGACCTGACACCATTAGTATAGGGTGAAACCGCATGAGAATGCCCCAGTGGCATTTCTTAGTGGCCTTAGCAAATTCATTTGTTATTTTAATGTGTAACTCTAGTCTCAAGGCTAATTATTTGTTCAGGGCCTTCTCCCTTGATTAGAAACCGTTGCTATCTAATGAACATGATGTCTTGGTGGGAGATGCAATGTTCGTGGAATTCGAATATGCCTGTAAAATGCAAATCACTTTAAATTGCTAAAAGCCAGTAATGAAGGCTGGACTTCTTATTTACATAAAGAACATTTGGGAAATGATGTGGAGGAAATATTCGTGAATTTGGAATTGCTCTTTCCTGCTGTGGCCATTAGGGAACGTATTAAACAGGGGGTGGCTAAAGTTCTGTAATTCTCTGTAAGAAAATTTATGCAGGAGATGAGAAGTCACCCAAGATGAACTTCCAGTTTTTCTCTGTAACGTCAGAACAGAGACACTGAAAAACTATTTACTTAACGCTTCCCAACTCCCACCTCGTTCAGTTGGACTTCATAGTAACAGGCTGTTGCTAAGGCATCAGTTTGGCTTTCAGCTGCTGACTCTCCCGAAGCTGACTGATCTCCAGTCTCTGATCAGAGAATTTTAGGTTTCAGCAGCCCACCAGGTCTGAAATCAAGGCGCTGGTAATGCCAGGTAAGTTTCTCCCAGCATTCACAGAGGATGGTGTGATTCTGTTCTTAGGCCCCTATCACATCCTGCCCACATGGCCCTGCACACCTGCAGCATTTACTGCACAGAATTTACTCACACGAGGTGTGTCTTCTCCATCACACTGTAAGTGCTAGGAGGGCATGGATGGGTCTGTGGCATTTTCCTCTGTATTTCCAGTAGGTGCTCAATATATGTTGACTGAATGTTTGAATGGCCTTTTTAATAGGCCTGAAGACCTACTTCAGTCCTGCTAGTTCCTAGATCTGTCGCTGAGGGAAAACAAACATGCTGGTGTTCTCTACCAAGGCTCACAAGTGTTCCCTGGGGCTACACACTGAAATCACCTGGGACCCTGATTCAACCGGTCTGGGGTACAGCCTGGGCACTGGGACTTTAAGTTTCCTGAGTGATTCTAGCGTGCAGCCTACTTAAGACTCAACCTTCTAGGCAGTGCATCTCATGCTGTAATGTGCACACAAATTACCTGGGACTCTTGCTAAAGGGCGGATTCCGAATAGTAGGATAGAGCCTGAGATTCTGCATTTATAACAAGCTCCCAGGTGAAGCCAGAGCAGCGGGTCCATTAATTGAGCTACTGAGCCTTCCCTTCTGAGCTCCAACTGCTAATGGTGCATGCCCTGCCCACCACTCTGAAGGCACCAGGGCTGCAGCAAGGCCGGCCCCTGAGCCACCAGCTTTGACTGACAGCTGACCATCAGTGTGTGGAGGGAGAAAAGAGGTTGTTGTAGGGAAAATGCCAGGCCAGCTTGTTAACTGACAGAAAATGTGAAGTGTCAACATATGAGGAAACACTTTGAAAAGGTAACAAGAACTGTGAAGCCAAAAGAGTCTTTGTGCTGGTTTATGGTGTTCCAAGGACCCCGCGGACAGCACATCTCCATCATCCACGTGCTCCTTAGATCAGGGCTTCTCAAACTGAGGTGCCTGTAACAACCCCTGGGGACCCTTTAGAACTCCCATCTCCAGCAATGCCACGTACCAATTACATCAGACTCTCTGGGGCTGGACCAGGCATGGGGATTGTTTTCAGCCTGAGTGCAGAGTGCAGCTGAAAACCCGCACAACGGTGGGATCTGCAAGCTCATGTTTGTAATGTCCTGTGAGGGTATGTTTACTGACAAAGGTTTTCAAGAGTTTCCAAGCACATTCACATCTATTTTAATCTTCACAACAGGCTCGTTTTACGCATTAGGAATTAGACCTGGAGAGTGAAAATTCTTTGATGCCAGGCACCACCATGCATGAGTAACAAAAGTAGTGGTCCCCTCGCCTCCTCCACAGCCTGTGGGGGAAGTGGGTTATGAAACATTACCTCAGGTTGTCACCGCCTTCTGTCACTTCGTAGGACAACCCAGCTTGCAGGCCGTCCACGAAAGATTTGAGGTGAGCAAGCTCCAAGGCCTTCCAAATCTCCTCATCTGAGTAGTTGTTGAAAGGGTCTAGATTCATCCTCAGGCTCCCAGAGAACAGGATGGGATCCTGCAAGTCAAGGGACGAGGGAGTTACTGGGGCTAATGTTAGAAAAGGAACAAGTAGGGACTTCCCTGGTGGTGCAGTGGTTAAGAATCCGCCTGCCAATGCAGGGGACACGGGTTCGAGCCCTGGTCCGGGAAGATCCCACATGCTGCGGAGCAACTAAGCCCGTGTGCCACAACTACTGAGCCTGCGCTCTAGACCCCACGAGCCACAACTACTGAGCCCGCGAGCCACCAACTACTGCAGCCCACACGCCTAGAGCCCGTGCTCCACAACAAGAGAAGCCACCGCAATGAGAAGCCCACACACCGCAATGAAGAGTAGCCCCCGCTCACCACAATTAGAGAAAGCCCCTGTGCAGCAATGCAGCCAAAAATAAAATTTTTAAAAATTTTAATAAATAAAACAAACATCTGGCTTTTTATATATATATATATATATATACACATACATATATATATTTAAATTTTCTTTTATAAAAGAAAAGGAACCAGTAATTCCTTGTGGCCAAGAAAGTGAGCAGAACTGGTCTGAGATGGAAAGCTGGTTAGTTAGTGGTTCAGCTTCTCCAAGATTTCCCCGCTGCAGGCTTTGAGCTAAACACGGGGAGCTAAACACAGCACTAAGAGGAGTCCTTGGTTTTGTTGTTGTTTTTCATTCTGAAGTTCATTTATGGATTTCCAAATTTGCCTTAGCATCCCTTAAAAAGATGAGAGGAACGTCCCACACCCCCAAATGAAAACTCATGGTTTGGAGGTGGAGGGATCGGGGCAGTCAGGGGAAGGGGTCATATAGTTACAAGAGAAGAATTTCTTACGCTCTTGAAGAGGCTGGTGAAAAGAGTGTAACAAAGGGAGCAAACGCCAGACAGACCAAAGCCACCCCAGAGTCTTGGCTGCAGCAAGCAGAGGACAGGTTCTGATGAGGACCCACATACCCCGAGAGCCTCCAGGGCAGTCCTTGTTTGGAAGGGTCTGGAGAGGAAGCTGCAGGGAAGACTTTCTTGCTGATGCACTAACCATTCCGCTTATTGGCAAAACATTGCCACAAATTCCCTCCACTCTCTTTTAACCATATCATATGGGGAGTACAAAGCTTAATAGTTTCAAGCTTCAGCAGCAAAACTGCTAATGCTGATTGCAAAGGTCCTGCGAACCTTGATGGGCTGTAGAAATGCTAAATATCATCTGCTCCATTTGACTTCTGCTGCGTTGCTGCCACCTACTGGTCAGATACTGACAGTCACACAAGCATATTACCAAAAAAATGTAAAGCTTATTTTTGTAAGTTCTGGAAGCAATGTGTCTCAGGGAACTAGCTTAGGTATCCCAGGTAGACAGCAGAAACGACGCCACCAAATGAACACACATCAAGAAGAACATGCACATGTTTCCTGTAGAACAAGCTACATGTGACAGTACGTCCTACAGCTTACCTGGGGGATGATGGTCAGTTTCTCTCGGAGGTCGTGGAGCCCAATGGAAGCAATATCTACCCCATCAATGGTGATCTGGCCTCCTGCAGCCTCTAGGATTCTGAAAAGGCTGTTTGTCAAGGATGATTTCCCAGCTCCTGTCCTGCCCACCACGCCAATCTGTAAATACAGTTCCTTGGCATGTTAGTTCACCATGTAATTATTGAGGGCAACAATTTAGCCAGGGACATTCATAATCACAGGTGGAAAAAGACAGTGACTGGCTACTTCATCTCTAAGATGTTAAACTGATTTTGGTTTTGGTGGGGAAAAATGTACCTGGATGTCAGAAAAGGATGGCTTTCCCATCCTACCTCCTAACTTGTTGCTTGCTGAGATCTACATTGACTGCTGGAAATGTACACATCTGTTGCAGTTATTCTTGGAAATTATAGATTTTTTAAAAATCCTTGTTAAAAGTGAGGAGAAGGGAAGGATTGGGTCTGCCATCAGGTCTGAGAAGCAGACCCTGACCTGGACCTGAGCATCAGTACCCAGACATATTTTCGGCCCTGCATCAGACCCCAAGTCCTCAGAGAATAAGAAAACCATACCAGGACTTTGCAGACCAGAGGGAGAACTAGGCCATTCTCTCTGCAGGGACAAACCTGCACACAGCTGTTCCCACCAGTTCCTTCCCCAGGCCAGTGCTTCCTCCTGACTTCCCCTCTACAAGCCTTGGCGCTTACAGGAAATGAGCCCAGTCAGCCACAGGAGGAGAGGGTGCAGACAGGGAGATAGGGGAGGGCTGAGCAAGAGAGCCCTTACAGGCTTAAGTCTGTTTGATCCTGTGTGGATATCCTGCCCTCTGGTGGTGGCGCTGTGTCCCTACACCTCCCCAGGGCAGAGGAAGCGCCCCAACCCTCTCACTTCCACCAGATTAATGAAAGCCCAGAGTTCACTGCTCTCCACCTCTATGTTCACAAGGACTCACCCAGGCCTTTCTTCAGCTCCACCTACCTTCTCAGTGCTCTTAATGTCACAAGTGATCCCCTTCAGTACCAGATCCAGCTCAGGCCGATACCGTACTTGGTAGTTGCTAAACTGGATCTCCCCTTTGCTGGGCCAACCTTCTGGAGGCCTCTTATCAGTCACCCATGGTGCCTGGCAAGGCGACAGGAGGAAAAGTGCTTTACACAGTGACAACTCGCTCAACAGTCCCCACAGAACTCATGTCACAGAACAGGGTAGCAGTGTGCCAGCCACCGGTGAGCATCTGCATTGAATAGACTGAACTAGACTGGTACTTCCAGAAGGCTCCTACCTTATTCAATTAAAGAAACCCTATCCCACGAGGTTGTTCTGTGCATCTCCAGAATGAAGCCACCATTTAACTTGGTGCATCCCAAGACCTGACTTCTCCCAAACCATTACCTATTTTAGGTTTCAAGAAATTAGGTTCTTTCAGTTAGAGCAAGGGAAACTTCCAGAGAACCTTTATGACCCCATGTGAAATCTCTAGATAAGGTGAAGATGCATTCTCAAAGCGGTGGCTTTTTTTTTTTTTTTTTTGGCCTTGTCCCTGGCTTCTTCTGATTCCTCCTTACCTCATTTTCCACGTTTATGTACTCATTTATTCGCTCAACAGCCACAATGTTGGTCTCTATTTCTGACGTCATCCTCACTAGCCAGTTCAGGGTTTGTGTGATCTACAGAAAAACTGGAAGACTAAGGATCATCTCAGGCTCAGAAACCAACCCAACCAGTTAAACCACAAGGTCAGTCTAGTGCCTACTCTGCACCCAGCACTATGCCGGGCTCTACAAGAGAGCAAGGAGAAGTATAAGAGACAATCCACACCTCCTTGGGGGAGGGAATGAGGCCGGTGCATTGAATGGTGGGAGGACAATTAAGTGCTCAACTGTGTGGTGCTCACAGGAAAGGCACTACTAGCTTGGAGTGGCCTAGGGCCCAAGCTGAGGCTGGAGAGGCCGGCCGTGGGTCTCCTGCCTGTAAGCCCTTAGGGGTTAGGGGTGGCATTCTACCAATGGGGAAGCATAAGGAAAGACACAGGGTAGGAGAAGGCCTTCCAAATAGCTGCCACCTCTGCTCCCAACAACAGCTCCACTGAGAACCCAGCCCTCAGGGTGGGACATCCACATGGACCCCTGTCCTCTGTTACCCCAATAAACTCCAGGTGCCTTCCTGCCATTACAGAGATAACATCTAACCACTAGGAAGATGACTGTCATGATCTGGGCCAGAGTCCAGGGAATCCGTGGGTTACTCAGAGGCAAGCTGCTCACATGCAAGCTTTTTCAGGCAAAAATGTAGTCCTGGCACATACACACAGGGAATCTTTGTAGAGCACATGGTGGTTAGAGAGAGGGAGAGCACAGGAGGCTGGGGACTACAAGTAACCACTTGGTGAAGCCTGGACCATATGAATTGTTGATATTTGAATGTTTTTATTTTGGTTCAGTATAATAGTTCTCCAACTCTTTGCCCCATCTGTCCTAGGTTAATAAGCCTAGAAATGAGGGGATGAAAGGGCAGTGGCACAAGGAACCCTGTGATTCTGGTAAATGACAGAGTCCTTTTGGGTGTCCCGCCACGATCACCTTGGGCCTTATTAACGCCAACTGAAAATAGCACCATATAGAGCCTGCTGGTAACTGTGCAGACCCCCAGTATATTAGTTCAGAAGGAGTCCACAAAAGATGGCCAAATGACTCATTAAATGAGTATCATTCATTAAACATTTACCATAGTGCCAGTGGTAGCAAAATGGCTGAGTGGTAGGAAATAACGTCTGATATCTATCTCTTAGTCAAACGGGATGCATTATATAGTTCTATTAGACTCTATATTCTTTATTAAAATTAACTCCAATTATTCCGTGATTTAACAAAATAAACATAGAAGTTATTTGTTCAGAAGACTTTCTGGTTACTGCTGCATTATAATAGAAACTCATTTATTTTCTCTTTTGATTATAATCAAGCAAAGAGACAGGAAACTATTAGATAATCATCTGAGATTGCTTCCTTAACTACCCAGGGCAACACAATTTATGTCCAGTTACCCAGATGACACTGGTACCTACTTAGAAAGGGAAAGGAGCCCGTCCATGGGTTACACAATTAGTAAGAGATGGAGCTAGGGTTTGAACCTCAGTCTCCCCTGGTCCCTCTGGATCTAGAAAGGAATCAAGAGCACAGACTCCACGGTATACCCGAGACTCCATTTAAGAATAATGCATTAATTCAACCAAACTCCCAACCTTCAGACTCACACTGAGTGCATTGGAGAGAACAAAGCCCACAGTGTCCCCACTTAGGGTATCTCTATAAATAACCATCATCAAGGATGAAAAGAAGACGATCAGGTTCCCAATCAGCTCCAGACGAACTGCAAGCCACCTGGAGGGCAACAGAACCAGAGAAAGAGGTGTCACTGAAAGGTGTCCACTTCCTTACCTTACCCAGCAACCTAGGTGTTCCTAGAACATTCTCAGAGGGCTTGAGTTGGTAGAGCTGCATTCTTAGGAGGTGTCTCAATTTGACTATGCCATGTGTTCCTAAAGTCTTTTAAATTGGATTTTAGAAAATAAATTGCATTTTAAAAGATACTAGAAGAGTTTGCTAAACTAAGGGAATCCTATAGTCCAATGTCTCCCAAACTTGCCAAATCTTAAGAATCATCTGGTGGCAATTGTTAAAAATACACAAATTCATGCAAAAAATTCCTGGACTCTTCCCCAGGAGATTCAGGGAATGGGTTTCAGGAATCTGCATTTTAACAAATGTTCCAAGTGAGTTCTTTTGATTAGGCATGGGAAACAATGGCATAAAGAATCCAAATGTAAGGTTAGAAAGAAATCATCACAGGAAGGTTCAATGTACCCTGTCTGATTTCATGATTTTTAAAAGGGTAGAGAAGAAGCTGGAGGTAGAGGGAAATTAGGTGTGAGCTGATGACAGGGAGGTATGTCGGGCTTTGTAGAGAACTGAATAGTATGTAGATTGATGTAATTTATGAAAACTGACTTTCCCAGTAAAATGTATTTAACTAAATTTGAATAATTCTAGCATGTGTACAAATAAATATGATACATATTTTACAATGGGGGGGTCCAACAGAAAATTGACTCTTATGCCTGTTTCCTTCTTGGAAAGTATCTAAGATATAAAAAATCTTTACAATCAAATTTCTGACCTCTCCATGTTCCAGATAATACTAAGCATCATTAGCCTGCCCTTCACACCGCAAGACAGTGTAGAAGCCACTCAAGAGTTTTCACTTCCTCCTCCAAGGACACATGACTTCTTGCCCGGGTCTAATGAAGCTGGAGAAATCAAGAATGCTCACCCTTTTTGGATTCATCTCACAGGATGTGAGCTTTTCATTTCTGTCATCATTGATTTTGCCTAAAATTTCCCAGCTTTCCTCCCTCCAACCTCTGCTTCTTTCACCACCCTACAAAGAGTGTCCTGCCTATGGAGAATCCCACATCCATTCTCAGGGAAGCAAACAGAGAATATCCAGTTCACCCAGCACGTGAACAGTACCTGGGTTATCAAATGCTCACAGATGTCATGTGACTCCCTCAATAAGGCTATGAGGTAGGTTGTGTTCCAGCCATCGTACAAACAAAGAAAATGAGATTTTCCTGAGAGGGGTCAAGACAATTCACCCCGCTTGGTAAGTGGCAGAGCAGACAAAGGGACCCCCAGTCTCTGACTCCAAAGTTCATGCTTTCTCCTCTCTACTCACATGACAGGCGTGTTTGGCAAGAGTGAATTTCACAACACTGGCCATGCCTGCCCTCCCACAGCTAATGTCAAAACTGCAGAACCCCGAAGCACATATTTGGGTGAATATCCAGGGGCAGCCTCACCTGTTGGAGGTAATCCAGGAAAAGACACATTTCTGGTTGGTGTCCGTCACCATCTCATTGTGCTTTAGAAATCGCTCCTGGTGCTCAAAAGCACGGATAACAGACAAACCTGACACAGTCTCACTAAAGTGAGAGTAGATTGGGGACCTGGTGACAGAGTCCAGTCGTCTCAGCTGGCGGGAAGTAGCCACATAAAATATCTGGACCCAAAAAAGTGAAGACTCAAGTCATACAATCATATCACATACGCTGTACCTCTTCCTTCATGGCCGTGACCCAGTATTCTTTACGTTGAGGCCACAGCTCACATCTGAACAGAGAAGCGGCTCTGGTCTCATCTCTGACTAGAGGAGAAATGAGAGAGGCTCAGAGGAAGAGGATGCTGGGAAGATCTGGGGTTGGAGGGAACAGAGAAGCACGAAAGCGCGGACACCACACCTCACTCAGCCCTAGAGGTTGGAATTTTCAAACCACGTAAGGAGTTTTGTCAGCCTAATCCGTATGGTCCCAAGAATCTGCACATATTGTCTAAATGACAGTTTTGTAGTGGTTAGGAAAAGTCTCTAAAAGATTTTATAAATGCTGCTGGGAACCGAGGGGTGTGTAAAGTGGATATGGGCAGTAAATGGTCCAAGAAACGTATGCCAAGGTTTTGATAAAAATTGAATAATCAGGTAAGTGACCAAAATTGTGCTTTGACAGTGTGTGAAGGTAAAGGTCGTTTGGAGGTGTGTGGAATGCTGAGGGTCTAAGAACTGGAACTGGATGTAATAGCGCAGGCTGAAGGGGGAGGTTCAGTGGGGTGGGTTAGTGGTGCTACTAGATTCCAAGAGGATTTGTTGAAACTAGGGAAGAACTGGGCATTTGAGTCAGATTTCAAAATGTTATACCTGGAAATTTCCTCAAAGATCCTGCTTCTTTTTTTTTTTTTTTTTTTGCGGTACAGGGGCCTCTCACTGCTGTGGCCTCCCCCGCTGCGGAGCACAGGCTCCGGACGCACAGGCCCAGCATCCACGGCTCACGGGCCCATCCGCTCCGCGGCACGTGGGATCCTCCCGGACCGGGGCACGAACCCGTGTCCCCTGCATCGGCAGGCAGACTCTCAACCACTGCGCCACCAGGGAAGCCCAGATCCTGCCTCTTATTTGTTGGTTTGTTACTGACAAAGATGACGATGTTCCTGAGGAACTCAACACAAACACCAGGTGGTGTCAACTTACCACAGGCCACAAGTCTGCCCTTGACTGAAGGGCTTCAGAATTGTTTTCTCAAGGTGATCAATTCATCCCAAAGGTAAATGGTGGAACAAGAATTCTCTCCACAGCTTCCCTTCCCTCATCAGTTTTTATCATGGTCATGGAGCCCCTTACACTTGCTCCAGTTTTTCTGTGAGACTTGGCTTTTAAGCTGTGTCCTCAAGAACACACTGGAATTGAGCCTAAGCCACCCACAGACATCCCAGTGAAAGGAGAACTGCCCTGAAATGAGAAGAGACTGGGCTCCTGCTGAGGGACATCTCCAAGTAGATAATCCTAAGCCAACCAAGGAAGCAGCCTTAGCACAACTCTTCTAGAAGCAACCAATTACCTTACCATTGTGAAGGGTCTTACAGAGCTTCAAGACTTTGTCCAGAGCCAACCTCAAAGTAGTCTTGGATCCAAGCATAAATATGCCCCACTTACACTTGTGGGGTGCGGGGCAGAAGTTAAGGTGACATTGACTGTGAACTTCCACCCACCCATCAGTGCTGACACTTCAGCTTCAGAAAGTGGCCTACGGGCTCCTTGGTATGTTATTATCTGGCTCAATGACGAAGATGCTGGAGAGGGGAGAGTGACTAGCAATAAACACAAGAGAAGAGTCTCAGGAAGGAGCTTGGGCTTTTGTGAGTAGAGAAGGAAGGAAACCTAGCCATTTCCAAACCTACCTGAACAGACACATAAATGATGCCAAGAGGGACGATGACGATGATGAAGACTGGAGTGGCCAGGCAGATCATGACCAGGGTGCTGATGATGCCCAGGAAGCACAAAATCCAGCTGCGCAAAGATGTGGGGAGGGTGTCATCCACCGTGGAGATATCCTAGGGACACATAAGAAGGAGAGATGGTGTGCTAATGAATTCCTATGACATTTTACATCTTCTCGGTTCTAGCAGCGAATTTGCTCAGTCACATCAGAATGCAAATAACTATATGTCCAGGGTTGAAAGAAAAAAAGAAATCCTCACCAGCTATTAGTTCTATGCAGATTAATTTTGACCCTTACCTGGCACAGATTCTCCATCTTTCCTTCCTCCACCCCCTCCTTTATCTCCTCTTAAGGGCTCAGTCATCAGCTCCAGAGGACCCTAGGTATAATTCTCCTTTATGGTCTGAGCCACCTCCTCCGCAAAACATACTGTATAACTAATGACAGTTTCCTTTTTCATGCAAAAGCAGTTAGCAAAATATGACTGTTGCCTAAGTAACTCACAGTAAGATCTCTGTGTTCTCTTTTTCGGAAGATTAATTATATATATATAACAACAGTGGAAAAGAGTGTGCAACATTTGCAAAATTCCTGTGAGAAATCTCCCCATCCAAAATTGTGTACTTTTTTAGGTTCTATTTAAGAGCAGAAAGCCCATTTAAGTTGTCTCCAGTGACATCATGCCCACCATCTTTGTTCCACAGGAAGGTGACAAGTGGGGGCCTGCCCACTTTTGAAGCAGTCACCATGTCCCCAGAACCTGCCTGTGGGCTGGGAGCTAGACTTTCTGTGTCTGCTCCAAGACCAAACAAATAAGGGCTCAGAGCTCCTCAGACATTTTTTTTAAAATGTGCACCCTCTTCTACAAACAGAAGACTGAAAATTCTGTTGGTGATAGTTGAATGTTATTCAGAATTGTCTGGTTTCCTCTGTTCTTGAAATTTCCCCCTTATGTTCATTAAGAATCAACGACTTTGGTCTGGCCCATGGAAGAGAGCCATCTATATGATCTTAGCATTTACTGAGCATCCCAATGCCTAGTACAGTCCTTGGCTCATAGAAGGTACTCAATATATGTTGAATGAATGAATGCTAAGGGTCCCAGAATCTGCAGTCGATGGAGAACCCCATTAAAATCATAGGATTCCACAATCCAGACCTTGTTTACTTATTTTTAAAGCATCAAAGATGGGAGATTCAGGGATGGAGGCGGCAACCAAGCAAAGCATTGTCCTGCTATCTCTTTTATTCACTGTCACACTAGTGATAGTGCTTTTACTTGTGTTTTTCCCTCTGCAGAACAATCCTTCACATCCTGCTTCTGCCACTCACCCATCCCCTACCCCCACCATCTCCCTGGCTAACTTCTATGAGTTAAGTCCCTCCTTTTCTGACATTTCCCACCCTCAATCACCCAGGTTGAGCTGGTATCTCTTTTCTCTGTCACTCTTTTGTACTCCAAGAATGCCACTGTACACATCGTTGTTACTGGGTTTCCTATATCCTATCATAATCCCTTACTTCCTTGGCCGTCCCCTTCACTAGATGGTGAGCTACTTAAAGGGAAAGAGTTGTTCATCCCTGTAACCCCAGGATCCTTAGGACCTCACACAAGGTGTTCAAGAAATAATCTGCATGCTGAGTGGACCAAAAAACTGGAACTGCCCAGTGTTGCCTGGGGACACATGAGAATTCTTTCCCTGTCAGAAATAAAAAGATCCTCAGCATAGAAACACGTCTTACAACCCCTGAGATACTTACGCCAGCAAACCTGTTCACTATCCGGCCAGTGGGTGTTGTGTCAAAAAAACTCATGGGTACTCGAAGGATATTGTTCAGCAGCTGCCTGTGAAGAGTGCTTGCTGCGTGGACGGAACCATAGACACTCCAGAGATTTGCTATGAGCACAAATATACCTGGAAATGGAACCAGTTTAGTCAGCACCATGCACAGGGATCCCTGAAGACTTGTGCAGGACATAATAGCAAATTTTTTATGAGTCCAGGCAAAGGACGTGGACCTGACAGAGTGTCTCAGAGATGGCTGCCGTAGCCGTCACACATACCTTGTGCTAATCCCAGAGCTCCATAGACACCAACTCTCAGGTCCCTCTGAGAGGCTGGATAGTTGGTGCTATTGAAGGTTTTAGAGTCACGGGTCCAAGCACTGAGCCAGAGGTTCGATCCAATAAAAGACACGGAATGGAGCACAAACCCAAAGATAATGAAGAATATCGAACACCATCCTATTGCTTGTAGGTATTTCAGGTAGATGGAGAACTTCACCTGCAAAGCCCCCACCTCAATATTAGTAGAGTTCCTAGCGGCTTTTGGTGAGGAATTACCTAGAATACCAATCATAGGGGGAGTACAGTCCTTTGGAAAGCAGAGAGCCGGTGGCAAAATTTGGTAGTCTGTGATCACATTTCTGTACTGGGCCAGGATGATAATAATCAATGCTGAAATATAATGCAGGGTAAATAACCATCAGATTATTAATGAGCTTCTAGATGCAATTAAGAGGAAAAGATATAAAAACAGAGTGGGACAGATAAGGCTATACCTGTTTTATTATTTATCTGTTTTATTAATGTTTAAGTTAAGATCTTAAATTTAAGAGCTTGGTTTTAAGTTTTATTAACTTGAATTGTGTGCTATGAGCTTGATATATTGGTGTTCTCTGGCTCCCAGAATTGCATCTCAAAGCATTTTTGTTTTTACCACATTATCAGAATGGAATCAAACACTCATGAAGTGTAGTATGAGGATATTCACAGGGAACATGTCATTCTTCATGGAAATACAATTTGATAAAAAGCCCAGAGCCTCTGCTAACATTTCAATGATAAATTTAAAGACTGGCAAAGCACACAAGACATATCCCTCTGTAGATATGTATTCAAGTCATCAAACTTAAAAATGTTCAAATCCCAAGCCTTATATCACCTCTAATGGTACTTTTTACTGTGGTGTTTACCTTTCCAGTTTGTATGAATTCCTTCTTAATTAGTTTTTGCCCTTTCACTGGTTCTTCCTCCTCCTTCAGGATATTCACATTCCGAGTTTTCAAGTCTTTTAAGGGCTTCAGACGCCTGCTACTGGACCTAGAACTGAGAGATTGAGAGGGGAAGCTTTCCTGAGCATGTAGATGCATCCCAAGGGTCTTCTTGCAAGCAGGTGTCACAGTAGCTCTGCTCACATCAAAGTGCATTTCAGAGCAGATGGTCATGGGGGAAACACCACCCCAACCCTCCTCCACATGCACAGAAACAAAAGAGCTGGGAGCGTCCATGTGGACACTCAGAAAAAGTCCACAGAGAAAAAGAGAATGATCAGGTGGAACTATGGAAGTGATGGGGGATGCCAGCTGAATATATGACCAACCTGCGACTAAATGTTCGATGAAGACTGTTCTCTCTTTTCATGGACAAGGAGGCCACATCTTCAGGGATTTCCTCCACACTGGGCATCAGCCCATAGTCATCTTCTTCACTGTCCTCATTGACTAGGAGACAAATCAAAGGTTAGGGAGATTGCTGCATAGAGCTGTCATAGCCCTATGAACAAGAAGAAAAGTCTTTTCTGATCTTGTTGGTCTTAATAAGAGATCCCAGATGTACACACAGGTTGGAATCTTTTACTCCAGAAATACTGTTTATTAGGACATCTCATTGAAAATTACCAGGATAAAGGAGAGGTGAGTTAATATTCCACTGGAAGAGAAACGGTCAAAAAGGAGAAGAATATTCCCAGAAGCTTGTAAGTTCCTTTGGAGCAGGAAAGAACTTTTAAGGATTACAGTAGACAAACAGAAGAGTCATAATCCCCAGAAATGTCTAAAAAGGTGAGTGTAAATTTAAAATGTTCTGCTTGAAATTCAAATAATTTGAGAAATTTTATTAATTTAAAGCGTTTTAAAAAACATATCCTGAAAATAAAAGGTAAAACAGCTTGGTCTGTGAAAATGGTAGAGTTATGACCTCCAGAAATTGGTACCTCTGTAAAAGCAGTGAGCATACTAGCCAAAAAATGTCAAAATCAAATTTTCCGTAACTTTGAAATTAACCAAAGGCTTGCCACAATCTAAGGAGCATTTATTTAAGAAAAATGGCTAAATCTCAGAAAGAAAAGTAAGTTTTGTAATAGTTTAATTTACCCTATTCCTATTCCCCTCTCCTTAGATCTGCTGTAGCCTAGAAAACCAACAGCCACACATTCATTGTAACCATGAAAATCACCAGCCTAGCAGCTGCTGGAAGGAACAGCCTGGGTTCAGAGCATGCTCAAAACCTCACTTCTGGAGAATTGTCATTATTTGACCTGTCTGGCAGTTCCCTGGAAAACTCCATTCACAGGGCTTGTCTTTACAGAACCTGACTTGGAGTTGGCTCTAACAATCAGCAGTAGTTGTTTAACATCACAGCTGCCTGAGGCAGTGATAACAGTTGGAGCAAAGAAGAAACTGACCAAGAACTTAAGAGGAAAAAAAACCTGGGGAATAAGATATCCATAGGGAGCTTTGATATCTTCAATATATTCCTGGCAATCGAGAATGTCATACACATATGTGGGGTTGCACACATGCCAACCCAAGAAAGACTTGAGAATGTCCTATTCTCTTACCTCTGGCTTACCTTCAGACTCTGTGCAAGTGGGGAAAAAAGGCTGAGGCAGAACTATAAATCGCCTGCTGGCATGTTAAACAGACATGTCCACCCCCACCCCCCATCCCCACAGAGCCCCTCAGCAAAGGCTGAGTGACGTATCGGTTCCAGGCACTTGAGGAAATCTCTGTTCAATCGTTATCTGACCACTAAGCCAACCAAGCAGGGACTTCTATGGCCACATGAGACAAAGAAAGTAGACTTAACAGAATCAGTTCAGGAAACTAAACAGGAGGAACAACAAAAGCAAACCCTGGTTGAGGATGGAGGGGAGAGAGATCATATTTCCAGAATTGTTATGCTATTTAAAATGACCGGTTTTCAGTAATCAAGACAGTATGGTACTGGCATAAAAACAGAAATATAGATCAATGGAACAGGATAGAAAGCCCAGAGATAAACCCACGCACATATGGTCACCTTATTTTTGATAAAGGAGGGAAGAATATACAATGGAGAAAAGACAACCTCTTCAATAAGTGGTGCTGAGAAAACTGGACAGCTACATGTAAAAGAATTAGAACACTTCCAAACACCATACACAAAAATAAACTCAAAATGGATTAAAGACCTAAATGTAAGGCCAGACACTATAAAACTCTTAGAGGAAAACATAGGCAGAACACTCTATGACATAAATCACAGCAAGATCCTTTTTGACCCACCTCCTAGAGAAAGGGAAATAAAAACAAAAATAAACAAATGGGACCTAATGAAACTTAAAAGCTTTTGCACAGCAAAGGAAACCATAAACAAGACGAAAAGACAACCCTCAGAATGGGAGAAAATATTTGCAAACGAAGCAACTGACAAAGGATTAATCTCCAACATTTACAAGCAGCTCAGTATCAAAAAAACAACCCAAACCAAAAATGGGCAGAAGACCTAGATAGACATTTCTACAAAGAAGATATACAGATTGCCAACAAACACATGAAAGAATGCTCAACATCTCTAATCATTAGAGAAATACAAATCAAAATCACAATGAGGTATCACCTCACACCAGTCAGAATGGCCATCATCAAAAAATCTACAAACAATAAATGCTGGAGAGGGTGTGAAGAAAAGGGAACCCTCTTGCACTGTTGGTGGGAAGGTAAACTGATACAACCACTATGGAGAACAGTATAGAGTTTCCTTAAAAAACTAAAAACAGAACTACCATATGACACAGCAATCCCACTACTGGGCATATACCCTGAGAAAACCATAATTCAAAAAGAGACGTACCACAGTGTTCATTGCAGCTCTATTTACAATAGTCAGGACCTGGAAGCAACCTAAGTGTCCATCGACATGAATGGATAAAGAAGATGTGGCACATATATACAATGGAATATTACTCAGCCATAAAAAGAAACAAAATTGAGTTATTTGTAGTGAGGTGGATGAACCTAGAGTCTGTCATACAGAGTGAAGTAAGTCAGAAAGAGAAAAATAAATACCGTATGCTAACACATATATATATGGAATCTAAAAGAAAAAAGAAAAAAATGGCTGTGAAGAACGTAGGGGCAGGACAGGAATAAAGACACAGACGCAGAGAATGGACTTGAGGACACAGGGAGGGGGAAGGGTAAGCTGGGATGAAGTGAGAGAGTGGCATGGACTTATATATACTACCAAATGTAAAATAGATAGCTAGTGAGAAGCAGCCACATAGCACAGGGAGATCAGCTCAGTGCTTTGTGACCACCTAGAGGGATGGGATAGGGAGAGTGGGAGGGAGTCACAAGAGAGAGGACATACGGGGATATATGTATATGTATAGCTGATTCACTTTGTTATAAAGCAGAAACTAACACACCATTGTAAAGCAATTATACTCCAATAAAGATGTTCAAAAGAAAAAGATCAGTTTTCAACAAAAATTATGAGACATACAAGGAATCAGGAAAGTATGGGACTGTACACAGGAAAAAAGTAGTCAAAAGAAACTGTACTCAAGGAAGCACAGATGTTGGACTTACCAAAGACTTAAATCAGCTCTGATAAATATATTCAAAGAACAACAGGAAACCATGTCTAAGGATCTAAAGAAAAGTTCTCACCAAATAGAGAACATCTTTATTAGGCCCATTAGCATGGGCCCCTGATCCAATATGTCTGATGTCCTTGTAAAAAGGGGAAATTTGGACACTGATGCACGTAAGGTATAACACCATGTGCAGATGAAGGCAGAGATTGATATGAAGGATGCCAACAAATGCCAGCAAACCACCAGAAGCTAGGAGAAAGACCTGGAATAGATCCTTCCCTATTGCTTTCAGAAGAAACCAATCTTACTGACACCTTGATTTTGGACTTCTAGCCTCTAGAACTGTGAGACAATACATTTCTGTTGTTTAAGACACCCAATTTGTAGTGTTTTGTTATGGCAGCTAATTAAGAAATACACAGAGCCAATGTTGATACAGGTAACCTTTGCCCTCCTGACCTTCCCTTTATTCTACCATCTTGTAGTCTGTACCTTGAGCCCCAGAGCCGACACAACAGCATGCCAGGCAGTGGGGCTTATACAACTTCTCAGAAATGGCCTATCTATGTTTCCCAGAGCAAGGGTTTAATGAGCTGTTTTGCAAACTGTCTTTTGTACACAAAAGATAGGATTTTTCAAAGGGGCTGTCTACCCATGGGGGTTTATAAACAGAACTTAGAAACTCAGAAGATCAAATCAGAAAAAGTTTAGAATTAGAAGGAGAAAACTGTCCAGGTTGTGGTGATGTGGCTGACTGAGCAGTAACTCAGGGGCATCCAGCATCAGACACTACCCTTTGCTGGAGATCTTCAGTCCCCAAGCAGGTACTTTTTGTTTTCTCCAGGCCTGTCCTGGAGCACATAAAGACTGATGGAAAGCTCTGACCCCTTCCTTTCTGCTGGAATCCCTGCCCCACTTTCCTGGGCTGGGTCCCAGTCCCTATAGCCCACACCATCGTATTCCTTGTTCCCGCCCTGTCCCACCAATGCTTACAGACTTCTTGGTTTAGGCTTTTCTTTCCGACTCTTGTGGTTTTAAACCATCACATGTCCTGACCTCAAGGCCTGACTGTGATCCCACTTGCAGGCTGTGTAGTTACTGCCTCTTCTGATTGACTTTCGGAATGCCCCTGTACCCTCCAGATCTTGCTTTCTCAGTCCTGACCTCCTGCTGATAACTGCTACCTGAAGCAGATACCCAGAACCATGCACAGGACTACTGCTGGCAGGTTCTTGAGAAGGACCCCAGAGACCAGGGCTCCATTACTGACTGGGGCTAGTCAGCGACCCCAGTGGTAGTGGTATTGGGTAGGGGCTATTCCTGTGGCACACTGAGACTATGCAACTGCCATGATTTTTTTTTCTGGTTCAGAACACCCAGTGGCTTTTGGTGTATTAGTCAAATCCCTTTGTTAGGGCGTATCAACAGTTTAGCAGTACATTATTAGTACCAGGTATTACAAAGCTGTCCAGGAAGTGGTTCTCATGAATTTGGGTAGATGGGGTGGAATATGTGACTTGAGTCAATAGAAGCAGGGCATTCCCTAAAAGGGGGCCCCTTGTGCCACTGGTGTCTCTTCCACAAGGGCTAATCACCCCAGATCTCCAGTCATCCTCTAAAGAGTGCCCTTTGATTGCATGTCAGAGACCAGATGAGCAGGATTATCCCCCAGTTTGGCTGAGATATAAAGTTTCTATGTTTGTGTTTCTTTACAGAGACACAAAACACAGAAAGAACAGATATTGGATCTCTGGATAATTTATTTCCAAATTTAGTTCACTGGATACTGAACAGTTCAGGAGGTAAATAGTGGTAGTTTACTACTTCTACCCCTTCCCTACCCAAGTTCTATCCTGTTCCAATCCTCTTTACATACCTGTGGGCTCGTCTTTAGGACCTGTCTGTTTTATGAATGTCTTCAGATTCTTAGCAAACAATCCTTTCTTGGCCAACAGAGTGCTGTAGGATCCCTTCTCCACGATGATGCCATTCCCCAAAACCACAATCTCATCCACTTGGGGAAGAAAGTGAATGCTGTGTGTCACCAAGAGTCGAGTCTGTAAAAATAATAGTAAGTTGTGCTGACTACCCTGTGTCCACCATGTTCCTTAGCTTACTAAGGAAAAGGAAAAACAGAGTCACTGTGGGGCTTTTCTTCAAAATGTGGCCCTGACCACTTGATCTCTTACTTCCTCTTTACTTCCCAGCACCTCATCCTAAAACCTGACCCCATGTGTAAGATGAGACTCCTGTCATCATGGATATATTCACAGTTATTTTCCTGTAGTGACAATGAGGTTTGCCCTGTACACGTTTTCCTCCAGCTTCCTGGTAGCCAAGAGTTGGGCTTAGGGACGTCACTTGAGATCAAGGGCTATCAATATAATTGAGGCATGCAAAACTAACTGCCCCCTCACTAAACAGGTAACTGATCTAACAGGAACTGCCCAGATTATTTTAGTATGTTAGAATCATTATAGGGCAAGAAATTGTGTCTTTGGCCCAGGCCTGGCGTGGAAGACTTGGCATCCCTTGTATTCTTGTCTATTTATGGACTACATTGACTACTGAAACAGGGATTCCACTCAAAGAAAGATAAACACTCACAGATCAGTAATGAGACTCAGATAGGGTCCAGGGGGTTGAGATGGGCCTCTAGAGAGACAGCCCAAGCCCACTGCCTCTGCTCTCTACTTCACAGCCCCACAGACACTAGGTTGCTATTATCAGGAAGACTTGGGAGATGCTCATCCTTTGAGTCTCAGCTCAAAGCCAGCTCTTCTGGTAGCCTTTCCTGAATCCCCAGGCAAGAATTGGGTATTCCTCCAGTGTTTCCACGGTAGTTTGTATATTCTGCCATTAAAAATGATTCTTGTATTATAATATTGTTGCTTGCTTTTTGGTTTGTCTGCCAATTCGATTGTAAGTTACTTGAGAGCAGGGATGAGACCTTTTCATCAGTGCGCCCAGTCTTTGCAATGAACCAGGCCCAGGGTGGGTATTCAGTTCATGAATGAATGGAGCCAATTAGCCTTACGGACAGAAGTCAGGACCAGGCATAGGAGGGAGAGTGAGTTCCTGTGGACTCACTGATCCAAGAGAGAGGCAAAAGGCCTCAGTGGGACAGCAGCCCAGTCAACCCTGCCACCCTCTGACTGGCAGCATTCAAAAAACCTTGAAGGGAAAAGGCCAAACACAGATGGAGTGCTGACAGCCCTCACACTAGACTTGCTACTGGTGAGAAGCATACTCAAACCCTCAAGGGGCGCTGGGCTCTGTCAGCCCCTCTCCCATTCAGCCTACTGTGCTAACTTGCCTATGGTAAGGAAAGCCTATGACCAGCTCCAGTGACTTGCTCTGGCCACTTTATCTGTACTATCTCACAGGGGCATTGCAAGAATCAAATGAGACAATGCAATAAAAGTGCTTGGCACAGGCCTGCGACATAATGAATACCCAAAACATATAGGCTTATTTCTATATTCAGATTGAGTCATCCTTTCCAGGCATAGTGCTCCTACATCCTGCAAGAGTTCCAGGAAAGTGCCTTCTTAGAGTAGAGCTCTAATACCTGCAGGATGACCTGTGTCCCAGTAAGGTAAATTGTTGGGTCCTCTGGCATGTTTTCTGACAGCAACCAATTCTGAGTGTCCAACAGTTCAATTCTGACACCAGCTACCCAGAAACCCACAGCTACCCAGAGCCCACAAGACTGCCCTGACTTCTAATGCTAGCCGAAAGTCTTGGATCCCACCCAAACTTCTGACCAACTAGCTATAAATTGAGGATTTCCATGGCCCCCTCCTCAGGTCTGATAATTTGCCAGAATGGCTCATAGATGCCAGGAAAATACTTTACTTACTGTTTACCAGTTTATTACAAAGGATACAACTCAGGAACAGTGAAATGGAAGAGATGCATAGGGTAAGGTTTCGGGGGTGGGGTGCTTGTGCAGAATTTCCATCTCTCACCAGGTGTGCCACCTTCCCAGCACCTTAATGTTCTCAGCAATCTAGAAGCTCTCTGAATCTCCTTATACAAGAATTTTTATAACACAATCTCCAGCCCATCCTCCTCTCCCCAGAAATTGGTATGTGGGGCTGAAAGTTCCAATCCTCCCATCACTTGGTCTTTCTGAGGAACGGCCTCGTCCAGAGGCTATCTAGGGGCCCCTCCATAAGTCACTCATTAGCATAAACTCAGGTGTGATCTAAAGGGGCTCATTGTGAATAACAAAAGACATTCTTAGTATCACTCAGGAAATTCTAAGGGTTAGGAGCTCTGTGCCAGGACCTAGTGAAAAAGACCAAATATAGTTCTTATTATACCACAGATCTCAAAGGACTTTTTATCATAATTAATCATCCTAAAAGGCTCAATGTTGGAGCCAGAGAATAAGGCTCAAATTAGCCAGTTCCCACATAAGCTATGATCTCAAGATGGGAGCCCTCACCAAATCATCTCCTGGGAGACCAGTCTGACACTGTATCTCCTCAGCAGCCCAGGGGGAAGGTAAATAAGGAAATCTGCTTCAGTACCCAGCAGTCCTAGGAGATGTGTTCCCCTCCTCACGTCTTCATCACTTTAAATAATTTCTCACCTTGCCTTTCAACAGGCCACTGGGACCCAAGACCTTATTAAAAATATGTTTTCCCACATGAGCATCCACAGCAGATAAGGGGTCATCCAGAATATAGATGTCTGAATTTTGATAGGTAGCTCTGGCCAGGCTGATCCGCTGCTTCTGACCCCCACTGAGATTTATACCCTGAAGAAGAAAATAATTTCTATTAAGTACTGAAACTGAGTCCCACTAAAACTGAGTTCCTCTGCTGAATCTATGATTAACATCTCTATCCAAAACTTCATGACCTTTCTTCTCCCATACCTGTTCCCCTCAAGGGAGTATAAAAGAAAAGGGGGGATTGAAACCAAGCAGGACACTGCAGGGCCCTCCTGTGTACAAAAACCCCTCTGTGTCCCCCCTTTCTTGCTTGTAGAAAAAAACTTTAGTCTCCTAGGCCTTCCCTGAGTTCCAAGGAGCAGACTCAAGCCGTTACTAACTAGGGAAGTGAGGGAATGCAGAAACAAAGGAAAAGCAGTCAAGAAACAATAGTTCAACTATAAAACAGAGTCCTAGCTCCTCTTCAAGGGGTATATGTAACAATTAGATGCATATCATTGAACTGTTCTACAGAAACTAAGATTCTAACCCAGGTGGAGGATGGTTACTACATGTTGACCACAAGCACTTAGCCCCAGACTGTTTGGAACCAGAAGGTTGATGATTAAGATTCCTGAAACATCACCCTGCCACTTTACCACCAACCAATCAGAAGGAAGTCTACAAGCTGCAACCCTCACCCCAAATGTTGCCTTTTAAAACCATTCCTGGGGAATTCCCTGGTGGTCCAGTGGTTAAGAATCTGTCTTGCCAACATTAAACACACCAACATTTGAATTATAGGGATCTCAGAAGACAAAAAAAAAGGGACCGAGAAAATATTTGAAGAGATTATACTTGAAAATTTTCCTAATATGGGAAAGGAAATAGTCAATCAAGTCCAGGAAGTGCAGAGAGTCCCATACAGGATAAATCCAAGGAGAAACATGCCAAGACACATATTAATCAACCTATCAAACTTAAATACAAAGAAACAATATTAAAAGCAGCAAGGGAAAAGCAACAAATAACATACAAGGGAATCTCCATAAGGTTAACAGCTGATCTTTCAGCAGAAACTCTGCAAGCCAGAAGGGAGTGGCAGGACATATTTAAGGTGATGAAGGGGAAAAAACCTACAACCAAGATTACTCTACCTGGCAAGGATCACATTCAGATTCAACTGAGAAATTAAAACATTTACAGACAAGCAAAAGCTAAGAGAATTTAGCACCACCAAACCAGCTTTACAACAAATGCTAAAGGAACTTCTCTAGGCAGGAAACACAAGAGAAGGAAAAGACCTACAAAAACAAACCCAAAACAATTAAGTAAATGGTAATAGGGACATGCATATCGATAACTACCTTAAATGTAAATGGATTAAATGCTCCAATCAAAAGTCAGAGACTGGCTGAATGGATACAAAAACAAGACCCATATATATGCTGTCTACAAGAGACCCACTTCAGACCTAGGGACACATACAGACTGAAAGTGAGGGGACGACAACGTTCATCGCAGCACTATTTACAATTACCAGGACATGGAAGCAACCTAAGTGTCCATCGACAGACGAATGGATAAAGAAGATGTGGCACATATATACAATGGAATATTACTCACCCATAAAAAGAAACAAAATTGAGTTATTTGTAGTGAGGTGGATGGACCTAGAGTCTCTCATACAGAGTGAAGTAAGTCAGAAAGAGAAAAACAAATACCATATGCTAACACATATATATGGAACCTAAAAAAAATGGTTCTGAAGAACCTAGGGACAGAACACAAATAAAGATGCAGACATAGAGAATGGACTTGAGGACACAGGGAGGGGGAAGGGTAAGCTGTGACAAAGTGAGAGAGTGGCATGGACATATATACACTACCAAATGTAAAACTGATACCTAGTGGAAAGCAGCCACATAGCACAGGGAGATCAGCTTGGTGCTTTGTGACCACCTGGAGGGGTGGGATAGGGAGGGTGGGAGGGAGGGAGATGCAAGGGAGAAGAGATATGGGAACATATGTATATGTATAACTGATTCACTTTGTTGTAAAGCAGAAACTAACACACCATTGTAAAGCAATTATACCCAAATAAAGCTGTTAAATAAACAAATAAAATAAAACAAAGAAGATGTAGCACACATATACAATGGAATATTAGTCAGCCATAAAAAGAAACGAAATTGAGTTATTTGTAGTGAGGTGGATAGACCTAGAGTCTCTCATACAGAGTGAAGTAAGTCAGAAAGAGAAAAACAAATACCATATGCTAACACATAAATATGGAATCTAAAAAAAATGGTCCTGAAGAACCAAGGGGCAGGACACAAATAAAGATGCAGACGTAGAGAATGGACTTGAGGACACAGGGAGAGGGAAGGGTAAGCTGTGACAAAGTGAGAGAGTGGCATGGACATATATACACTACCAAATGTAAAATTGATAGCTAGTGGAAAGCAGCCACATAGCACAGGGAGATCAGCTTGGTGCTTTGTGACCACCTAGAGAGATGGGATAGGGAGGATGGGAGGGAGACACAAGAGGGAGGAGATATGGGCATATATGTATATGTATAGCTGATTCACTCTGTTATAAAGCAGAAACTACCATACCATTGTAGAGCAACTATACTCCAATAAAGATGTTCAAAAAAAAAAAAAGTGAGGGGATGGAAACAGATATTCCATGCAAATGGAAATCAAAAGAGAGCTGGAGTAGCAATTCTCATATCGGACAAATAGACTTTAAAATAAAGACTATTACAAGAGACAAAGAAGGACACTACATAATGATCACGGGATTGATCCAAGAAGAAGATATAACAATTGTAAATATTTATGCACCCAACATAGGAGCACCTCAATACATAAGGCAACTGCTAACAGCCGTAAAAGGGGAAATCGACAGTAACACATTCATAGTAGGGGACTTTAACACCCCACTTTCACCAATGGACAGATCATCCAACATGAAAAGAAATAAGGAAACACAAGCTTTAAAAGATACATTAAACAAGATGGACTTAATTGATATTTATAGGACTTTCCATCCAAAAACAACAGAATACACTTTCTTCTCAAGTGCTCATGGAACATTCTCCAGGATAGATCATATCTTGGGTCACAAATCAAGCCTTGGTAAATTTAAGAAAATTGAAATCGTATCAGGTATCTTTTCTGACCACAATGCTATGAGACTAGATATCAATTACAGGAAAAAATCTGTAAAAATACAAACACATGGAGGCTAAACACTACACTACTAAATAACCAAGAGATCACTGAAGAAATCAAAGAGGAAATCAAAAAATACCTAGAAACAAATGACAATGAAAACACGATGACTCAAAACCTATGAGATGCAGCAAGAGCAGTTCTAAGAGGGAAGTTTATAGCAATACAGTCCTACCTCAAGAAACAAGAAACATCTCAAATAAACAACCTAACCTTATACCTAAAGCAGTTAGGGAAAGAAGAACAAAAAAACCCTCAAAGTTAGCAGAAGGAAAGAAATCAAAGATCAGATCAGAAATAAAAAGAAATGAAGGAAATAATAGCAAAGATCAATAGAACTAAAAGCTGGTTCTTTGACAAGATAAACAAAATTGATAAACCATTCACCAGACTCATCAAGAAAAAAACAGAGAAGACTCAAATCAATAGAATCAGAAATGAAAAAGGAGAAGTAACAACTGACACTGCAGAAATACAAAGGATCATGAGAAACTGCTATAAGTAACTATATGCCAATAAAATGGGCAACCTGGAAATGGACAAATTCTTAGAAAAGCACAACTTCCTGAGACTGAACCAGGAAGAAATAGAAAATATAAACAGACCGATCACAAGCACTGAAATTGAAACTGTAATTAAAAATCTTCCAACAAACAGAAGTCCAGGACCAGATGGATTAACAGGCGAATTCTATCAAATATTTAGAAAGGAGTTAACACCTATCCTTCTCAAACTCTTCCAAAATATAGCAGAGGGAGGAATACTCCCAAACTCATTCTACAAGGCCACCATCACCCTGATACCAAAACCAGACAAAGATGTCACAAAGAAAGAAAACTACAGGCTGATGTCACTGATGAACACAGATGCGAAAATCCTCAAGAAAATACTAGCAAACAGAATCCAACAGCACATTAGAAGGATCATACACCATGATCAAGTGGGGTTTATCCCAGGAATGCAAGGATTCTTCAATATATGTAAATCAATCAATGTGGTAAACCATATTAACAAACTGAAGGAGAAAAACCATATGATCATCTCAATAGATGTAGAAAAAGCTTTCGACTAAATTCAACACCCATTTATGATAAAAACCCTTCAGAAAGTAGGCATAGAGAGAACTTACGTCAACATAATACAGGCCATATATAACAAACCTACAGCCAACATCATTCTCAGTGGTGAAAAGCTGAAACCATTTCCTCTAAGATCAGGAACAAGACAAGGCTGTCCACTCTCACCACTAATATTCAACATAGTTTTGGAAGTTTTAGCCACAGCAATCAGAGAAGAAAAATAAATAAAAGGAATCCAAATTGGAAAAGAAGTGAAGCTGTCACTGCTTGCAGATGACATGATACTATACATAAAGAATCCTAAAGATGATACCAGAAAACTACTAGAGCTAATCAATGAATTTCATAAAGTAGCAGGATACAAAATTATTACACAGAAATCTCTTGCATTCCTATACACTAATGATGAAAAATACAAAAGAGAAATTAAGGAAACACTCCCATTTACCATTGCAACAAAAAGAATAAAATAGCTAGGAATAAACCTACTTAAGGAGACAAAAGACCTGCATGAAGAAAACTATAAGACACTGATGAAAGAAATTAAAGATGATATAAACAGATGGAGAGATATACTGTGTTCTTGGATGGGAAGGATCAACATTGTGAAAATGACTATACTACCCCAAGCAATCTACAGACTCAATGCAATCCCTATCAAACTACCAATGGCATTTTTCACAGAATTAGAAGAAAAAATTTCACAATTTGTACAGAAACTCAAAAGACCCCAAAGAGCCAAAGCAATCTTGAGAAGGAAAAACGGAGCTGGAGAAATCAGGCT